TCCAATCATCAGTAGATTTTGACACCAAACTTTTCTCAGGGCGTTCTTCATCTCCGTGTTTCTCAGCGTGTAGATCAGTGGGTTGAACATGGGAGCAATGATGGTGTAGAAAAGAGCGAACACCTTGTCTTCTGGGAAAGTTGTGGCTGGTCTGATGTAAATGAAAAGTACAGGTACAAAGAACAAAACAACAACGGTGATATGGGAACTGCATGTGGAAAGGGCTTTGCGGCGTCTCTCTGCGGGGTAAGCCCTGATAGTGTATAATATAAAAATGTAAGACCACATCAAGACCACAAAGGTGACCAACCCCATCATGCCCGAATTGGCAACCACCAGTACCCCGACTCTGTAGGTGTCCATACAGGCAAGTTTCAGCAAAGGATACACATCACAGAAATAGTGATCCATTTCATTGGGGCCACAAAAGGGGAGACTGGTAGTAAGGAGGCACTGGATAAAGGAATGTAGAAAGGCACCAACACAACAAACTGTGACCATGGCATGGCATCTCCCTCTGTTCATGATGACCATGTACTGCAAGGGCTTGCAGATGGCCACATAGCGGTCATAAGCCATCACTGTGAGGATGAGAATCTCAATCCCTCCAAAGAAATGCATGGCAAAAAGCTGTGCCATGCAGCTACTAAAGGGAATTGTGTTCTTTTTTACCAGCAGGTCAGTGACTAGTTTGGGTGTGACTGTGGAAGTATAGCACAGGTCAGATAAAGCAAGATAATTAAGAAAGTAATACATGGCTTGGTCAATTAACTGACTGCATGTGATAGAAATCATTATGACCACGTTTCCCAGCCAAATACCTATGTAACAAAATAAAAACAGCAGAAAGCACAGGTTTTTAATTTTCTTATTCTGGGAAAGTCCCAACAGTATAAATTCTGTGACATTGTTGGTATTTTCCATTTCACAAATTAATTAAGAGTCACCAGATACGCTGAAAAAGAAAATGACAAGTGGGCATTAAAAATACTGATTAAGGTTGGCAAGAGTCACTGTGAGTACTATAAAAAAAATCCATTTACTGAAGCATCTCTCTCACACACATACACAAACACACACTCACATACATACATTCACCTTTTTATGTATTTCTAAATTTACATGCTGTTGACATATCAGAGCATTTATCATTACAAGTTAAGTTTTGATGAAAGGGAATCATAGTAATAGCTATGGTAGTAGAAATCACAAGCTAAGAGGTTAGAAATTTTGCCATTTTACAATCGTATTACAAAAGAGAGTTCAGGAATAATGTGTTCTTTATCATTTGGTGATTGTATTACAATAGTCAGAGGAAGAGTGAAGTCAGTAAAGGACATTGTATTAGGTCAAGGAAGATCATTTTTTATTTAAATTTTTGATATTTTATTGTAACATTTTATATTTATGATATTAAAAGATCCATATTATTTGTTACATAGTTTTCATGGAAAAAATTATTGATGCTTAATCTAAACTCTGACCCTGGCTTGAAAAGCATCAGGTATTTGTCAACAATACAGAAATCAATGAAAGGTAAAAAACATCACTTGACAGCTATGTGACTCTGCTAGTTCTTTTAATTTACATAGATTAAGTACAATAGTAAATCAAACACAAAAGATGAGAAATGTATGCTGTCTGTCAGAGGAAGTATTGCCAAAGTCTAAAGTCATAAATTGTATAAATATAATGAAAACAATCATATTTAAGTAAATGAATGGTTATGAGAATTTATAGAAATTATTTAACACAAAATTAAACATCACTTTGGTTTCCTTGCTTCTGTGAAAACCTTCCTGTTTTAATTTCCATGCCACGCAATTCAACTCCTCTCTGGCCCCTTTTGTTTCCATTCTACATAAACTCTAAAGTTAAGTTTCTCTCATTATCTACACACTCAAAGTAATCCTTCGTCTTCAACATTTAAGAAGCTTTCTCTGACTCTAAATCACCCATCTACATCTCTATCTCATCAAATCCTCCATAACACTCTTCCATTAATGCCGCCAATAACAATTAATTTTGTTGCTTATTCTTCCATAATTCTTTCAAGGCATTCTGGAGAAAGGCAACCACATGCCTTGTATTCTTAGTTTCCTTCCTATTTTGCTGCACGCTATTTTGCTGTCACAGTCAGTGTATGTCAGCGAATGAGCTTTAGATTCAGACTTTAGATCTTGCCATTTCTTCAGGATACGTGATCATATACTTCTCCCAAACAATCTTTTACTAATTGAATTTTTGTGACTTTCATATATTTTGATCATCTTTAGATCCTTTCACCAATCTGTAGCACCCCTTACTTGAAGAAGTAGATTAGAAACCACCCCCCTACAGGAAGAACTATTGGCAAACAATCACACCTTCTTCATTAATATGAGCATTTTGTTATCCACCTGCCAAGAACTCATAAAATTAACTTATATTATTTGATGGATCATAAACGCTAGTACTTTTTCTTTTATTTTTCTTCTTATGGTGCAAATGTGTATTTTTACACTACAAATATTAAATGAAAAGAATAAGTACACTGGAAAGTTACTAGAAAAATGAATGTTATCATGTATATAAAATAGATCATTACTGCTATGACAACAAGAGGAATAATGATTACCTCATATATATTCACAAATGAGTATTAGTCATAATTTTGATTTATATTGACACCAAAGACTGATTTTAGGCATATTGTAATATTTATAGTAAAATCTGGATACTAAAATCTTGCTTCACAAGCTGAAACACCTCTAATAATTTTTTCTGCTGTTACATTGTACTATCTATTGTACTATCTATTAATTCATTATTTGTTTTTACTCTTTTCTGGCAACTAATATTTATCAAAACATCAAGGTTAAATAGATATTCTACCACAAAGCTTTTAATAATTCTCTTACCCAGTTTCAGGTCTTGGTGAATTTAATTATGTTCCTCTTTTTTCAGAAAGAAAAGGAATTTCATTCTATTTGATTCCATCAATATCTTTCCACTTTTTAAAAATATTCCCTTTATTTTGTTGCTGTGGAAAAAATACCAGATAATTTATTCACCAATACTTTTGTTTCTATTTAGAAAGTCTTATAATGCTGTTGTTTCCTTCATCATGAAAATTCAGAAAAAAAGGAGGTGCATCATTTCAACATTTATTGAGGATTATGAAATCAATCATTCATTTCTGTGTACTTATGTATTAGAAATTAGAAGATGAAATGTTTGCAAAAATTTGAAATGAAGAGAAAAATACATTTATAAAAGGAGTATATATATGTATGATTTATAGCTTATAAGTATGTAAGTATTTAGTCATTCAATTTCATCTTTTTCCTTTACTTCTAGGTAGCATTATAATGTTACATACCAGACGATCAATCAGACCATATGTGCCCTGGCTGTAGCACCTCCCTGTTTTCCTGGTGAACAGAAAATATGTGCTCCTGAAATAAAGGCATCATTGGCATTTACATGGAAAACATGCTTCTGTTTTCTATCCTCAGCTGTATGCCATTTGTGATTTTAGAATTTGTAAATATAGTATAAATTCACTGGTTAAATTCCAAGTTGCATAATGTGGATCACCTTGGAGACTAACCCTCAACACATTCTCTTATTTATCTATGGTTTGATGCACATCCCCAAGGAAACTTTGACCAACGTGTAATTTTAAATGATTTAAATCTTCTCAGGCATTAAAGAACAGTTCTTCCAAGGATAATAAAATTTTATAATCTGAGGAGTTTGCCAACAAACCAAGGGTTGGCCTTAACTCAAGAGAACTAACTAGGACTAAAACCCTGTGATTTATGTTAACACAAATTCTGAAGAGACAATAAGGCCTGAATAGATGAGAGTGGACCAAAGAGGCAACAGCCAGGAAAATGGAAGTTTTGTTGTTTGATTAACCACAAGGGGAAAATGTTGTTTGAAGAATAGATGAGCTCTTCTCAGCACAATACTTCAAATCTGAATAATTCCATGTCTCTACACATGTCATTTAGTGGTAACACGTCTTCACAAATTTAGCCATCTGGGTATGTCACCTCATTCCTAAAAGTGACCCTGGTTCCTATGCCTGTGAGAGCAAGCCCAGAACTAGGGTCTAATGGCAAGGATGTGAACCCTGGGTATACAGGATCATGTGCCACACAACCATGCTTAGAGGGTGTGGTTAGAAGGAACAGTGGTGTTTGTAAGTAGGAACTTGGTTCTAGAAGTTGGGAATCTGACCTAGCATAGCTGCAGGTCTGAATACTGAGGCCAGCCCTGAAGCTTGGCTTTGCAAGCTACCATGACCCAGTGGCTGACCTCAATATAGAATCTGCAGGGCAGGTCTGAATACTGAGGCCAGCCCTGAAGCTTGGCTTTGCAAGCTACCATGGCTGACCTCAATATAGAATCTGCAGGCCTAGCCTGGCTTCTGAGGATATAGGTTTCATTTTGAATTCTGAATCTGTGAGGCTACCCTGCTTCTGTGATGGGCTCAGAGTCCAATTCTGCTGGTTAAGTGTATATATTGAGAAAGCAGATTCATATTTGGCATGTGACATGCCTGGAGAGGCTCCTTTTGGAGGCCTGCAGTTGGGGTCTTGACACATGATGAGTTTTTACTAGGCCTTGGGCTCCTCTTGTAGCCTTCACATTGTAGCTTTAATTCTTCACCACTTTTCCTTCACAAAGTTTATAATCCAGCAAGATCCTAGGCAAACCTCTGTCTTCTCCCACAGCATTTCTTCATGATTCTCAGCTGCCTGGTGTTGGGGTGAGAGTGGTACAGGTAATTTGAAAGAGCCCTGCCCTTCAATGTGCCTTTCCTTTGTGTTACATTCAGGTGCTGTATTATGTTCCCAGTTATCCTTATGTTGATGTGATGTGCAAGGCAGATAATCACATTGATATGTCTGGGGGACACAAGTGTGGAAGCCCTGGTCTGCCATCCTACTGATGTCCATCTCTGTGCCATAGTTATAGAGGTCTCTATATTAATGGGACACTGAAAATATATAACTCAGAAGTTAAGGTTGTGACATTTTTTAATGAAGCTGAGACTTAAAATATGTGGATAATAGAGTCATAGGGAATGCATATATTAATATTAAATTTAATACTTAACCTTTGCCCCTTAGTCTGAAAAAGTTGATATTTACAACCAGCCCATGGGGATTACTGTTGTTTACTATTATTGACAAGATTTGAATATCAATGCTCATTTTCTATTGTACTGTTGTGTTATCTCTGCCCATGTAAAACAATTTTAAATGCTATGGACGTTATAAATGATATCCAATCTAGAAACACCAATGTTCTATAAATAACAGGACGATGTCGTGTATCTACTTTAGTTTTTTCTTCATCTAAGGCAGGATCCTCTTATCTCAAAACTTTATCATTACCATCTTCAGTTTTACACATCCAACTGTGGTAGTGTGATGTCCTAGTAAATTGCTACCTGAACAAAGACAGACTTTGTTCAAACAAAACAATGAGGACTCAGTGCCCTCTTGAACTAAGAGTGGGGCCCAAACTGCTTTGAGAACTTGTGCAACCTTGCAGTCTGTTTATTGAAACAGAATATCTATCATGAAATGGTGAAGGAAAAAACAGGAAGATTTGTATTATTGGGCAATTTTCCCTATTATCTACTGACATAAAATAGCATACCGAAGCACAAACAGATGCTATGAACCTACACCCACCTCTTCTGTGCAACAGAAATTTGATAATTATCACTGCTTTGTAGGGATCATCTGTGTATAATGTTTGCTTTTGACATCTACGACATACACATAAACACACACACACACACACACACACACACACACATGTACTTTATGTCGAGGACAAGGAACAGTGGTGAAGAATTAAAGATACAATGTGAAGGCTACAAGAGGAGCCCAAGGCCTAGTAAAACAAGGTAAGTATAGTATAAACAAGCTAAGATAATTTGTGAAACTGAGTCTTGTATGTGTCCTAAATGGGAAAAAAATCTTGTGATTGTGATAGTGAAGGGCATCAGCCATCACTGCTTCCTGGTGCACTGACTCTGGGATTTCTAACTCTGTTGTTGAGTGATGTGAACGGCTTTCCTGACCCTTCCCTCTCCTGGGGTTCTGATGCTGCCTTTCTGTTCTTGGTGGGTTCTGTCATAATGCATGTGTAGTCCAATGTTCTGAGGAAATTTCCCTCCACTGAAAACACTCAATGAAAGCTCATTGATTATAGCTGCATCATCATTGGCCATACTTTTCTTTTACTTCACACAATCTTGACACTCTTCACAGCCAATTCTTCCTGCTTTAATTCTTCAGGAGAACCAAGCCTTAAATGGACTTCAGTACTAATCATTTATTATATAATTTTCAGTAAGTTTCATCAGAGATACAACTGAACTGTTCATTTTGATTGGAATGGAATCTCCAAACAGTTTGAGAAGGACATGCCTTTCATGCAATGAACATCTCATAATTCTCCCCAACATCCTGTAATGTCTTCCCCCAAAGTGTACAAGTTTTGAACTAATATTTACTCATGAGTATATTATTAACTTTCTACAATGACACAAAATGATTATTTGGAATTTAATTTTCTGATGACTGTGAGTGTGAACATGTGAATTTGGCTTGTGTTTCTATTTTTATTTGTATAAAAATCAAATATACTCTTAAACTATCCTATAAATATAGATTCTTTGTAGATATGTACATAAAATTTTATTAATAAAGAAGAAACATATCTTTGAAGCTTTTCACTCTTCTCCCTATTAAAACACAGGAAGTAACACTTCTAATGCAATGCTAAATTGAAGGCCTGGCAGTTATCTTAAGTCCTCATGTCCTGTTTAATATTTTAAATCTCTCAATAGTAGGCATTATTTTAATTTAAAATTTAAATGGTATAAGATTTTTTTCTATAATTTCATATGCTAAGAATTTTGAGCTTGTTTTTCTTTTTTTCTTCTGCTCGTTTTGCTTTGTTTGTTTTGTTTTGACACGATCCCCCAAGTCTGAACCTGCCTGGAAGTCGCTATGTGGATCAGGCTGGTCTCAATCTCACAGATATCCACCCTGCCTCCTAAGGCCTGAGTTAAAGTCATACACTAACAAACAAAAGCCCATTGTAGACTTCTGTTCTTTTAAAATGCAGAAATTTTTGGTATTTTGTAAATTATTGAATATTATTCCATACATATTATTTATTTATTTTTTATGTGTATGAGTGTATTGCCTGCAGATGTTAAGTGTACCTGTGTCACGCAGTGCCCTCCAAGATCAGAAGAGGGCATCAGATCCACTGGAACTGGTATTAAGGATGGTTTTTATCCACAATGTGGGTGCTGTGAATTGAAGTTGGGTCCTCTGCAAGAGCAGTCAGTGCTTTGAACAGTAGAGCCATCTCTCCAACCTGGACATACACTTTATCATTTTTACTTGGAATTATGACATATTTGCATGTGATTTTATCATTCGATTACTAGTTATTTTTAATGTCTATTTTAATTACTGACAGCATTTTTACCTTTCTTATATAAGTCTGAATGATTTGCAAATTGTATTTGTGTTGTCAAATACATATCTATTGAAACCTTTCACAATACAATGCTTCAAAAACTCTCATGAACTCATAACTTCACAAAGTTTAGAGCCCTATGCACTACATAAACCGTATATTACATAATAGTTGAGTAGACAGCTATTGTGAAATATTATGATACACCAACATTGAGTATCTAGCATGCCTTAGCCCTTAGTGAGAGTACCCAACCCTGATGTTTCAGGTCAAGTATAGTGAAAACCAGCCATTCTGGAAGGGATAGAATTTGTTCTAAGAGAAATAGACACTAATTCTGAACATAGGTTTGCTTTTTCTGCTAGCAACACTTATCAACACAGATCATAGACTTGTGGGATCGATTCCCAGGACCCACATGGTGGCTAGCAACCATCTGTAACTCCAATTCCTGGGAATCTGATGCCTTCTTCTGAACTCCACAGGCATTGCACGACATGTGTGTATCTACTTACATGCATGCAGGCAGTATGCTCATACACATAAAATAAGAATAATAAAATATTTTTTTAAATTATTTTTGTATGTATTAATTTTTCATATATTTTTCACAGAACTTGTTTCTTTTCCAAACATATTTGATGATGCCACATTTTCTTTATGGCATTTTTCATCTCCATATTTCTCAGTGTGTAGATCAGGGGGTTGAACATGGGAGCAATGATGGTGTAGAAAAGTGCAAACACTTTGTCTTCTGGGAATGTTAGGTTTGGTCTAATGTAAATGAACAGAACAGGCACAAAAAACAAGACCACAATGGTTATGTGGGAACCACATGTAGAAAGAGCTTTGGAACGGCTCTCTGAAGGGTAAACCCTAAGAGTGTATAATATCAGAAAATAGGACACCATCAAAATTACAAATGTCACCAAAGCAATTAGACCTGAATCAACAATGATGAAGATGCCAATCATGTAAGTCTCAGTACATGCCAATTTCAGTAAAGGGTACACATCACAGAAGTAGTGATCTATCTCATTGGGACCACAGAATGCTAAGAAGTTAACAAGCAGAGGCTGGCTGGCCGAGTGTATAAATCCTCCAGTGCAGCAAGCTACAATGATTGCCTTACACCTCTGCTTGCTCATGATGACGGTATAGTGCAGAGGTCTGCAGATGGCCACAAAGCGGTTGTAGGCCATTGCTGTGAGAATGAAGATCTCAATGGCTCCAAGGAAGTGCAGGATGAAGAGCTGTGCCATGCAGTTATTATAGGAAATTATCTTCCTCTCTGCCAGTAAATCAGTCAGAAGTTTGGGTATTACTGTGGATGTGTAGCAAAGATCAGAAAGAGAGAGGTAATTGAGGAAGAAATACATGGGTTGTTCAGTGAGCTGAGTGTGTGTGATGGACACCATTATGAGCACATTTCCCATCCAAATAACAATGTAGCAAAATAGAAATAATACAAAGCAGAGGATTTCAATGCTCTTGTTTTCAGAAAGTCCCAAGAGAATAAATACAGTTGCATGACTCCTATTTTCCATGGTTCGGTGCAATGCAAAAACATGGCAGGTCCTGAAAAGACAGATGCATAAGTCACCATTAGAAATATCAGGAGGGATGGCTCAGTGGTCATGAACATTTGCTGCTTTGCAGTGGACTTGTGTTCAATTCCCAGAGCTGACATGGTGACTCACAACTGCCTGTACCTCCAGTTCTATGGCATCAGATGCCCCCTCATGGCCTCCGAGGGCTCCAAGCATTCACATGGTACACATACAATCAGACACACTCCCCCACACACATAAAATAAATAAATACATATATAATGAAAATTATAGAGTTTTTGTTGTGATTAGCCTTATGATGAGTTTATAAGTCATTCTTTCAAGACATCATGCTAATATTGACATTAATAAAGTTGAATACAATCAGCCAAACAATAAAAAAGAGGTTTAGAATTATTAGTTGCCAAACATTATTCAATATACAACTAAGGCCTTGTAAAAGATATAATTCAGAATCTCCTTTTTTTCAGTCTTGTTGAGACAGAGTCTTCCTGTAGCCCCAGCTGGCCTGGAACTCACTATGTAGACCATACTGGCCTTCAATTCACAGAGATCTGCCTGCCTCTGCCTCCTGAGTACTGGATTAAAGGAATGTGACACTATGCCGGTCTGTAGTTCAGGACCTTAAACTCAAATATGGTTAAAGATAAAATTAAAAGCCGAGGATCTGGAGAGATGGCTCAGTGCAGAGAAGTACATACTGCTCTTTCAGGGGACCCAAGTTCAGTTCCTATTCCCCACACTGAGTAACTCACAACCATCTGTAAACACAATTCCAGGGGATGTGATATCCTCTTCTGGATTATTGGAACAAATGCACTAACATGCACATTTGTACTCACAGACACATATAAGCATAATTTTAAAAATAATATTAAATCTTAAAAAAGTCAAAGCATGAGTACATACGTATATTATATTTTGCATGCATATATTTGTGCAAGAGTGTTTGGAAAGTGGAAAATAAGCCTTCTTTCTAAAAGGCACTCAAAACTGATTTGATTCATTTTTTTATGTTTTGCTTTTTACTTATATGTGATTTCAACACTAAGGTGTTGATATTTTGAAACACAAGAAAATTTATTTCAGTGGGCATAGCTGCTAAAATTATAAACTTAAGTTGGGAATGCATTATGAGAGTAATTAAAAGTAAGGGAAAGGAGCAAAAAGCAAAATTACCTCAATGATTCAGCAATTAACAGCACATGCTATTTTGAAAATTAGCCTTTTCTCTCTTTTTTAATGAAATTTTGTGGATCTTAGCACCAGATCCTCACGTGTGAGTATGTAACTGCAGGAACCTGGAAAAGGAAAAAGAACAATGGAGGCTAAGGAAAATACAGAGCCCAAAAGAGGTAGAGAGTACGAGACAGATGTTACCAAGGGGAAATGGGGTATTTAATGGGGAAGGATAAAAGGAGGAGAAACGTAATAAGTCAAAAGCCCACTGAAAAACACAAATACAATATCTATACATGAGTGCATAGGTATACCTGAAGGTTACTTAATAAGGAACATAACACCATACAGGAGAAACCTCCTGGCAAGTGTTGGTCACAGTAGTCCAAGAGTCTCCAAACTAGATACACATTATTACCAGATCCTTGGATTACCTCCCAGAACTTGAAGGAAAGACCTTATGTATGAAGACAGGATTGAAGAATAATTCGCATAGTTGTGGAGAACACTTTGAGTACATAAAATATGTGGAAGACAAGAGGAGGTGTGGATAGGGGAGGGGATCTAAATGCCATTAAAATACATTGTATAAAAATCATAAAAATTCAATAAAATTTTTAAAAATTTGAATATTTAGTTCAAGAATTTATATCTAAAAGAAAGAAGAGTCAAGATCAGAAGATACATATATCAGATACATGTGGTATAATAAACAATTATTACCATTACTCCTTAAGACAGGGGACAAAAATTTTTAATTTTATTTTTATTGAATTTTTGAGATTTTTTACTCAATATGTTTTAATGGTATATAGATCCCACACC